TGCTTCAGTTCAGTAAGAAATGAGGTAAAGATTTAGATAAAAATCTTTGTATATTTCAACAAAGGACATGCCTGAAATCTATGCTTTATAGAGATTAGCACATTTATATATGTTTTCAGTTTAGTCTGACATAAGACCGAAATCTAGATGCAAAAAGCAAAAATCAAGTTCATTACACTAACGAATTAATCTACGAGATTAGCTTGTTAACCATTGCTTTATGTTAGGCGGCCAATTCTCCTTCCCTCTCGTTCTGTCTTGGGCACCTCGATGTGGTGTAATGGTTAGCAAGCTTGTCTTGCTAGAACAATTACGACTGAGTAGTGAGTTCGATCCTCACTGGGTGCTCCATACTTTCGGCATTGTGCAAATCTAAGCTACGCTTGGAAAATCTCTTGGAGAGTGTGTGAACCCCTCTCTTGAGGGGTATACACATTCGGATACATACCAGTCACAGGGATCCGTCCTTTCGCTGGTAGTATCACGGCTATGACTAGCTTTGACCAGCTCTGACCAGCTTGGACAAGCTATGACCAGCTAAGACTAGCCGCCCGAGTGAAAACACTCGGGTCCCCACGTTAAAAACAAGCCTTGTGTCACAACCTGACTCAGTGAGGGATCAAGTAAATACCGCGTGTAAACCCCTCCTCGGACGGGTATACACATTCGGATACTTGCCGGTCACACGGATCTGTCCCTCTGCTGGTACTATCACAGCTATGACCAGCTTGGCCCTGTTTGAACAAGCTAAGACCAGCGGCCCGAGTGAAGACGCTCGGGCCCCCATGTTAAAAACCGACCTTGTGTCACAACCTGACTCAGTGGGGAGTCAAGTAAATCAAACCCACTTGTTCTGTCTATGGATTTCTGTGTACAATAATAAAAAAAATAAATGTTGTCTCTACTCTGAGTTTCGTAGAAATCGCATTGACTCTACAGGATGATTTGATTTTACAAGTCTCATTAAGAGGGGGTTTAATGCTCTGAAACTGTGTACAGCAGTGACTGCCAACCTATTTTGTATTTGGTATTTCTAAAATTCTGTAATATTTAATTCTTACATGTATGTCAATTACACATGTACGTACATACGCACATACTATTTTTATGTATGCATACGGTATATGGATCGTATGTATTAACACTCATTAACATAAACACTTTCACTTAAACTCACTAGAAAACAATTCACTGTTAATAACTCATTCTCGAATTGCTCCCTTATTCTGTTTGGTATAGTAAGCCGAAGGGTGCACATCCTACGCATCCCCCACCAAAATATTATCGTGTACCCCACTGGTGAGGCATGCGGCCCACATTGGGAATCAGTGATGTCCAGACAAGATAAGTTAACATATAATTGTATTTATTATTATTAATGCTTTAGTTCTTGTTATCGAGCATTATAATTATAAAGATTGTCTTAAAAACATCATTTTAACCTTTTGCCTGTCCAGGACATTTTCGTGTGTATTATCCAAACGTTTATGCTTGTTTTCAGGTTTATAACTATTATAAGGCAACTCAACTTATTTGGCAAATAGAATCTGCTGATATGAAGTATTTCACATAATAAAAACCTTTGCATCACATGTGATGCAGAGAACGTACAAATCATAAGTTATGATGAAGGATTTTTAATGACAAAAAGTAATTATTTTTTGTCATTAACCCTTTGCCTGTCCAGGGCATTTTCGTGTGTACCATCCACACGTTTATGCTTGTTTTCAGATTTATAACTATTGCAAGGAAACTCCGCTTGTTTGGCAATTAGAACGTGGCTGATATATAGTGTTTCACATAATAAAAATGTACAAATCATAAATTATTTACACTATGCTCAGTGCATCACATACGATGCACATGTTTTTATTATGTGAAACACTATATATCCGCAGATTCCATTTGCCAAATAAGCTGAGGTTGCCTTGCAGTAGTGATAAATCTGAAAACAGTCAAGCGTCTTTAGGTCATATATGATGCCCAAAATATTAGATTAGTCATTTCCTCAGACGCCCTGCTTAATAGTAGACTCTTTTTTTATGCGTCCTTAGTATTACAACTTTTTTAAAATCACGGCTCGTGTGCCTCACATATGATAGACGGACGTAGAAATCAAATGCCCTGTCAATCACATATGATGCGCAGGACAGGCAAAGTGTTAAAACTTGAAATACTAAATGCATTGTTGTAATTATCATCACATACATACATACAGATCATGCGACAAGCATTCATTGGTTAATCTCCTCAAAACTAGCTCGCCGATTGGTCAATTCCGACCAATCAGATATCCTGCACGCGAGGAATGAAATTTCCCGCTCACTAAGGTTTGAGCCAGTCACGTTATACACCACCTTATATAAACAAAACACGTGTAAGCTTTCTCTCTCTGTTTTCTTCATTCATCTTATTCCTTGCTGCCAAGATGTAATCTTCAAGAGCTCCCGTCTTGACCGTGCGGCCAGACGTTAAAGAACATTACCAATTCACGCAAGTACGAACTCTTAACTCTTCTGAACTCTTACCAACTTTACTATTTCACATTTCCTAACATGCAACAGGAACTTTATTCTTCTAAACTTCAGTTTAATAATTACTTCATCTTTATGAGCTCCGTTACAAATATTTGCAAATCTAAGAGACATAACTCATTCAAACCTTCAGCTTATAGCATGTACACCAAAACACTAATAAATTCAATTGTTATGTTTTAAACCATTACGTTCTGTCTTGTATTTTATAATATGTACTATTTTACGTCAAATATAAATTGCATTGTGACCGCTACATGTTTGGTAACCTCCAGCGTCTTTGCTTGTCCTTTTCCACGTCATTCCCAGTCAAAGATAAATAATTGTGGTGATGCGCGCTACAGCATATTCATACGTCCAACAGCTGCAACATGTCTATAAAAATTTAGCCGAAAAGTGTCGTGCACTCGTCAACTAGTAAACTACAAAAATAATTAGGGCTTTTCCTAAGTAATTTTAGTTTTTGAGACTCTCACTACTAATCCTACATGGAAGTTTAGAATCAATTTAAAGCTCACTAATATACAACAATGTTCAGCGTAAAGACCTATTGGATTAACAAAGGATAAATCTTCACAAGCTACCCCCAAATCATAAATTATTTACACTACGCTCTGATACACAGGTCTTTATAATGTGAAACACTATATATCAGCAGATTCCATTTGCCAAATAAGCTGAGATTGCCTTGTAGTAGTTATAAATCTGAAAACAGGCAAGCGTCCTGTGGTCATATATGAAGCCCAAAATATTAGATTAGGCTCGTTCGTCAGACATCCTACTGGTTGGATGGATTTACGTGAGACGAATGAACGCTTGATGCAAAGACGATGGGATGGAAACGATTTACTGGCATCCGGTAATCCATCCGGCCAAATGATTTCATCTTGGCCGCATATATTTCACACAGATAAAGCCCTTTGTAAGGTGTGGGCTGTACTTGTGAGTAGTTTTTTTGTATTTCTTTATGACATGGGCTACCAAGGAGTCTATCAATGAGTTTATATTGGAATCTTTTCCAATAAATCCGAGGGTTACAACTATAACTGGAATTTTTAATGTTCCAATGCGATTTTTGAGATTTCGATTTCAAGGTCCTTGTATTTTGATAGTTTTTCGAAGACCTTCAAAGATACATTACAATCTGCAGGGAATGTCATATCAATAAGGAGGCACTTTTTGTCTTTGCGATCTCTAATCACGATGTCAGAGCGATTAGCTTTGTTTGTTCTGTCTGTGTGTATTGTAAAGTACCATAAAATTGTCACAGGTTTTATCTCCATAACTTGCTCTGGGTGGTGTTCATACCAATTTCTTGAAGTTTCCTTCGCGTAAATGATGCAGATTTTCCAGTGCAGATATTGGCCCACTCTGTCATGCCGGGTTTTGTATTCACTGGGTACCAATATCGCGCAACGTGATTAAAAAAAATGACCAATTCTTTCTGGATATTTATCACAGAATCTGCATTTTGGACTAATACAATTTTTCAGTATGTGTTTGGTAATTTCTAGGTAGCAAGCATTGGTCCTGTTATTATTGTTATTATTATTGTTGTTGTTGCTGTTATTATTATTGCTTTTCATGGCCAATACTGTATCTATAGCAAACAAGATGATATAAACAAATGCCGCACACATCAGTGATAAGGCAGTGCAGGGTTAAAAGCTGAAACCGAAGGTTTTATTTTTGATGTCCAGGACCAATGCTTCCTAATTAGAAATTACGAAGCACACATACTGAAAGATTTATGCTAACTCGAGATGTAATTCTGTAATAAATATCCAGAAACTATTTCGCCATCTTGTATCAGGTTGCACGGTGTTAGCATTCACTGAATATAAATCTAGACATGATAGCGTGTGCCAATAACTGCACTGGAAAATACGCAACTTTTACGGGAAGGAAACTGCAAGAAACAGGTATGAACATCACCCAGTCTCGAATGAAATGCTGTAAAACCCTGGACGTAAATTTACTGCTCGCCATTATAACTCTGACCATAATTTTGATTTTAAAAAAATGCTAATTTAATTGAAAGAGGAAACAATTTACTAAAACGAAAATGTATAGAAAGTGCTTTAATCGCTAAGTTAACCACAGTGAATTTGAAAAAAAAATTCTAGTTTTTATTTAGTACTACTGAGTCCATGCATTAGAACTATTCACGTAGGAACGGGTTTAAAACATTAGGCTATTGTCCTGGGGAATAAACCTGAATGTAGGATTTGGAGCATTAAAATGTAATTTTAAAACTCGGTCTGAAGATTGCATGAGGAGTTAAACTGACGCTCACCATTTAGTGTTGATTCCAATGTTCACACAATCTCTCTATATACGCTATAGCTCAAGATGCTAAACACTCTTCCTCATAAATATAAAATTTTAAACATTTCATATATATATATGTGTGTGTGTGTGTGTGTGTGCGATTCGGATATCAATCTATCATAAAATTTCATAAACGCTTATAGATATGAACGGTCTAAGATAGATAGATAGATAGATAGATAGATAGATAGATAGATAGATAGATAGAGCGAGAGAAAGAGAGAGAAAGAAAGTTACATGAACAAACTGTAGTTAGGTATATAGACAGATATGAACTACCTGAGATAGATAGATAGATAGATAGATAGATAGATAGATAGATAGATATGATTTAAG